GCCACAGTGCCCTATTTAGGAGTCATCTTTTTACCTATAGGGCCGAATCAGTGCATCCAATGGCAACTACAAAACAGTGCCTTGGTCTGAAAAGGGGAGAGTTGTCGAGGCTGGAGCAAAGTACAGAGGGCTAGTGTTGGAGCTGAGAATCTATGATGTAGGACCAAGGACTGGGGCCTAGGGGCCTTGCCCAGATAGTATTCAGTTCCCAGAATACAGACATTTCAGCTCCACTTTCCAATGTTGTTACACGCACGCTCAAACACACATTTGTTTTGTAGGGGCTGTTTTGAGGGGGAAATACTCTACTTAAAGACAGAGAGCTATCAGGTACTTGTGGCCCCAGGAAACTGAGGTGGAGCAAGAAGGGAGGAGTAGCCAAGTGACAGACTCAGGCAGGGAACAGTAGAGTAGGGTCCAGGGAAAAGAGGGCCTGAGTGTCAGGTGAGAAGCCTGCAGAGGCCTGGCTGCAGGACCAAGGCTTGCTATAGTGTCTTCTGCCTTCAGCAGGAAGGATCTCAATGAGATATGCAGAATCTCAGAGCTGAAAAGGACCCTACTGATACTGTAGCCCATTTTACAAGTGAGGAAGAGAATTCTGGTTATTTCCTCAAAGGCCCCAGTCCTCAGGCTCTGCATCTACCAAAACCCACTGGCACCAAATGCCCCAGCACATGCCATTTGGAGCTGGCAGTACGTGGCATGGCAGGAGAATGGCCAGTCTGGTGACAGAGGGGCCAACGGGGGAGAGGGGAGGGTCTATGCCCCCTCTTAGCCCAGGTGACTGTTTCCTGTACCCCTCAAACATCCCTGGGTTGGCAATTGTATCACTTTTGCCCCAAGGACCAGCAGTCCCTGCTTCCAGACTCCTGTCTCATAACTGAGCCTGAAGAAGCTGTCCCCAGGTCTGGGCCTCTTGCGGGCACTGCCAGCCTCAGAGCAGCTCTGCAGTTTCCAGCCCTGACAGGGACTCTTTCTTACAAGTGGTCATGTGCTAGGGGTACGGGACGTCAAAGGAGGCCCACACCCTGACACGCGGGGACCAGAATCGGGAGCAGGGACTGGGGTGAGTTCCGGCAGCGAGCCCCTCCACCTCCATCTTCTCAAGAGGGTCTGAAGCCATCCGTTCCCTTCCCCCACCCTCAATCCAAGGCACTGGACCAAGCCATTCCTCTTCTTTACTTCTCCAACGAAAACAAAACGCACACTGCCCCGCTTCCTTTTTCCTCTCACTGGAGCACTGCGCGCGCGCG